AGACAGCAGAAGCTGCAGCAACACCTGAGTCATCAGCAGCTGCGGAGCCCGCAGCAGAGGCAGCAGAGACACCCGGCTCAACACCAGCTGGGACAGTGGGAACGTTCGAGTTATCTGAAACAAGGAGAGCGGCTTATCGTGCTGCTGCCGCTAGCTTGGTGTATCTTGCGGTGTCTAAGCACCCCACTATATCGGCAAGAGCAATCGAATGGGCAGCTGCTGCTGCACAAACTGAAGAAGAAACTGAAGTGACGGAGGCGTCTGCTTCTGCAAGCCGCACACAGCAGGTGAAGGCAGCGGTGGCACGTCTGCTGCAAGAAGAGGTCGAACGAAAGCAGGACCAAGGAGCTTAAACTTCCATAATCTATCACGTAAGACAGGTTGTTCTGGCCCCAGCAGCGGCAGCAGCAGCACTGGCAGCAACAAGCGCATGCGCCAGTGCAGGCGGAAAAAGAAGCAGTGTAGAGGGCGGGGCGGGGGCGGCAGCGATTATTAACGTCTTGGTAGTGCCGCGGCCCCCCGCCCTTATCAAAATTGGTTTTTAAGCAGAATCTGCCCCCGCTACAGGGGCGGCGTCAACGGAAGCGCTGGCAAGAGTAGAATCAACGAGAGAGACAGCAACAACTGCACATGCGCCTGCTATTTTATATTTTATTGTGCTCATAGAACTCCTCGTTGCAATAATGGTTTTCGTGCCGAACNGCGTTCCACCATGCGAATTGGTTCTTGCAGGGACGCGTGGGGAAATGGCATTAACACCCCTAACATCCCACGGCGGATGTTAGGGTTGTTGAAGCCACCCCCACACGCGTTGCCCTCAACTGCTGCTGCCAGTATATAATGCCCACGTCGCCACAATTGTTCAAACATGGCGAGATGAAGGAATGCCACAGAAGAAAAAGGAGGGTTCAGGCCAGTTTTCATGCATCCCATTTCATCCGTTCAAGAGGATAGCAACGTTTTTGCCAGTGGAGTTGTTACACCACCTAAGCCGCAGTTAAGAGGCAGTACAACATAGCCATTCACACGCAGTTCATTCATTTCACGATCTCCCATGGAGAGAATGCATACGCCGAGGTCCGTTGGATGTCGTTTACTCATACTGTACGTGGCATCCAAATTTTGACTGCACTGTTCCTCGTCATATGCGCAGAGAAGAGCGCTGGCTGGGAAGCAGTAGTCAAAACACGAGTAGCGCTGGTGCTTAGTTATGCCAGATACCAATTATGCGAACTGGGAGCTGCCAACACATATGGGCAGGAACAACGTACGATGTCTAGAGATATTTGAGAAGCTCTCACTAAGCTGCGCCAGGCACCAGTTGAGAAAGACGTTCCAGCAACGAGCCTAAGGCGACGGTGGAGTAAAGTTGGTGCATGCATTTCTACTTGCACGTAGGTTGGCTTCTGGTGGCTATGCATCTGGCAACTGTCTATGCTCTTAACGCATGCACCAAAAAGAGGATCTGGTTGTGCTCGCATGCGCCATTAGTGCTGCAGGGATTGCATCAAGGAGTTCTGCAATTCATCAGCCGTTTCCTCTCCACGTAAGCTTCCACCCCTTGGGCCGCTCTGCTCAGGACGCCTGGAGACTGGGCAGGAGGTCAGCTGCTAGTCAGTAAGCCCATATCTGAAGTATTTTGAGTCTACCATAGCTTATGATGGTCCTACGCCCGTCGGATAAGATCGAAGCCAGACATTGCGAGGTTACGGGGC